CCGTCCCCGGATGTCTTTCCCAGGCCTGTCCCCCGCCCCCCAGCTCAAGGGGCACAGTGGGAAACAGCCCTGCTCAATAGAGCGCGGCGACAGGCTTTTATTTTTCTTTGGATAAAGGATCCGCTGAGCCTGGAAAACGTGGATACCAGAAAGGGTGGTCTGATCTCCGCAGAGGTCTCAGGCCAGAAAGGGAGAAGCCCAAAACATCCTCTCTTCACCAGCACACACCCTAAAATGCTCCCAAGTTTTGTCTCGTCGTCGTCCTCACTTCCATTCCCACTTTACCACCCTCGTCCCCACCCCCATCCCTCGCCACAAGAATAAGTTTCTCAGAGTGGGCAGCATCTGCAGGATACAATTTCCAAGGAAGTCCTTCCGGAATCCCCTTGGCAGGACGCTAAGCCCCTTTCCCTTCCCGCCCATTCTCCCCCAGAATAATAGTGCAAGCAAGTTATTCCACAGCTCACCAGGCCGGGACCTAATTTAGAGTACACGCTCAAAAAGCCATCCCCTGTGCAGTACCCTCTTTTCTACCGCTTTCCTCCTCTATTCACCTCGTGCAACCCTTGCCCACCGTTCCTATAAAGGCCTGTGGTTTGGGGGAGACGTTAGCCTGCAGAGGCCCAGGGAGGCCCACCCTGCTCTGACCTGGGGGAGGGGAGCTCCTTCCGAGACAATAGGAAAATGCAGTGGGAGCTAAAAGCCCCTTTCAGCCCCAACCTGGTTTGAATGCCTGGGAATGACTCACACCAGCCAGCTCACCTCCTACAAGGCTGCTTCCAAACAGAGAGGGTAAGTAGGGATAAGACACCTCTTGAGCCAGGTACTCTGCATTCCCTTTCTTCCTGAAATGAATCTGAAAGGGTTTCTCTCTCTCTTCCTGAATTCCTTTAGTTTACATGCAAGTAACTACAGGGCCTTGGTTTTATGGACATCATCAGATTTTGTGAGCTGGACATCATAAGCCCACATTTATTTTTTGTAGTATTGGGGCTTGAACTCGGGGCTTTCACACTGACCTACATTCTAGCTCCCACTACTTCCTTTTATTTTTAACATGGGACAGGGTCTTGGTAATTCCCTGCATTACTCAGGCTTGGGTCCAATTTACTATCCTCCTCCTGCCTCAGCCTCCTGAGTGCTGGAATTACAGGTGGGCACTCCTGTGCCTATTCTTAATTCTGTTCTTTCCTGATGGGTAAACTGAGGCATGGTGGTCAGTCCCACCATGCCATGGCACCATTTCCCGTTGTGTAAAGTGGTAATACAGTTGCACAATCTTTCTCAGAATAATATTGTGGGAACAAAAGATTGAAAACCTTCTGACAAATAGTATTAATGTACATATTATTTGAGTTTGAAGAGTCCTAAGTATTGTTTAGAGAATTTATAGTCAATAGTAAAATAATCAAAGTAACCTTAAAAACACAAACACCAAGGTGCAATCTCTTTTTGTTTTTGTTCTTGCTTTTTTGGTACTGGGGATCGAACTTAGGACCCTGTGCTTGCAAGGCAGGCGGTGGAACCATTGAGCTAAATCCCCTGCCCTGCAATCTGTTTTTTATGTTGCTTGTTAATCTTACTAATTCTTTCTTCCCTTTTTTGGCACTGGGGTTTGAATCCAGGGCCTCTGCACTAGCCTTTTCCACAGCCCTTCTTATTTATTAACTTTTTTTTTTTTTGGTACCAGGGATCAAACTCAGGTCCTTGCGCTTGTGAGACAGTTGCCAGAACCACTGAGCTAAATCCCCGGCCCCATATTGACTTATTTTTGAGACAGAGTCCCACTGAGCCCCTAAATTGCCTGGGCTGAACTTGAACTTGTGATGGATGGTTCCTGCCTCAGCTTCCCAGAGTGCTGGGATTACAGCCTGTGCCACCATGCCTGGCTTTTTTTTTTTTTTCTTCCTCCTGGGGATCAAACCAAGGGCCTCACACTGCTGCACAGGTCTTCTACCACTGAGCTCTAACCCCAGCCCTAATCTTACTAATTTCTGAGGTAACATGTAAGTTGGTTGGTATCATTGGCATATGTCAAGGATAAGAGGGCTTTTTGGAAAGCTAACACAACCTAATTAAAATATTAGTAATGATCACTTGACTTTCAATGCAAATTTTGTCTGTCTTTATAAATTGAAATCATACTATTGAATTATGTTTTGAAACTTCATATAATCTTAAGGATCTCAGCATTGTGAATGGCAGCTCTGACACAGATGGACTCTATGCCTCTGGGCCAGGCCCTTACAAATGGGGAGGGAGCTCTTTTAATTATGGGAAGCCACAGGTTAGTGCAGCGTGGTTTATCTTCATAGACAAAGACACTGAAGATTGGAGACGTTAAATGACTTTTCCAGGTTCGCACAGTAATTCAGGGAAGCAAGCATTCACATTTTTTACTCCTCTCCAGAGCCTTCTTGAGCACATCCACTTTGTGTGGCTTCCCTAGTGCAGCAGAAAAGGGCTCTGTGTGGCTCCCGCCTGCCATTTGCTCTCTGGCCTCAGTAAGGGAGAAGGAATCAGATGGAGACTTTCTACTGAGCATTTGTTAATTAGCATGGAACATTTGATATCCAGTTGCTGTTTTGTCAAGTCTTCTGACAAGAAAAGAAATTCTTTTCTTTTCATCTTCTCCTGGGAAACACTGTCCCCTTTCTTGCTCTTTAATGAAACGTGCTTTCTGCTGTGTAATTTGATCTGCACTCTTCTTTAAGGTAAATTTAGTCCCTGGTGAAAGGTGAGGGATCAACAGTCACCTGTAAGAGGAACCCTCCACTTCTCAGCACTTTACACTCACTGCCTATGCTGAAAAGGCGGGCAGGATTCTTCTGCAGACAGGAATAAAGTCACAAACAGGGAACAAATTAAGCTGGTAATTCGTCCCTAGATAGCAGATAAAGTGAGGAAAACTCTCCTGGGTCACATGCAAAGTCTGGGGTGGATACAGACTAAGACCTGAACAAATTTGTTTAAATTCCCAAAGCCCTGAAATGACAAAGAAAAAGAAAACTGGATAACTTCCCTCTGAAGCTGGTGCTTCATCAAACTGCTTGCTTTAGGCTTGAGAGAGAATGGTTGGGAAAACCAAAGAGAAAACAAGAAGTAGGTCCAAATGCAGCAGAGTGGTGTATTTGAACAATGGTTCTCAAACTTTGCTGTCCATTAGGTTACCCCTAGAGCTTTGAAAAATTCTCATGTTCCAGCTGGGGAGGATGTAGTTCAGTGGTAGTAGAGTGTTTTCCTTGTATGTATGAATGTCCTGGGTCCAATCCCTAGCATTGTTGAAAAAAAAATCGCTGTCCTGGGCAGCAGAGGTAGCTCATTGGTAAAGCACGTGCTTTACCTGGGTTCAACTCCTAGCACAAAATAAACAGCAACAGAAGTACACACAACGCATAGCAAAAGATGAGAACTGCAGTAGTAGAGAATTGTCCTTCCCATCAGACCTTGCACCCTGCTCCTCACAGATCTTATCTGAGCTAAATAAACCTGGCCAAATTGAGATGGAGGCAAAAGTGCTCAGTGCTCAGTCTTCCCAGCAGGCTCCCTCTCTATTCTACCTACACCCACACTTCTGCTCTCCTAGACCCTTTTCTGGTGAAAAATCTGCTTCCTTGAATAGATTTTGATATCATTCACATCAGTGCATTTAAAAAACTGTATTGCTTTTCCCACAGAAGGTACATCTTTAGCATTTCTAAAAATTTAAGTAGACAACTCAGCCATATTTCTAATTTTGAGATAAAAGGCTTTGTTCTACAGAGGAAACAAAGCATACCATGTAAGCACTTGCCTGAGCTTATCTGTTGTTAACATTGGACTTATTGGAAGCTTCCGTAATTATAAATTGATTCCTTAACTGTTGCTAAGATTACTTTGTAGAATATCCCATCTTCTCTTCCTCACTCCCCTCTCCTTGAGGTAATGAACAATCCTTTGCCAAACCAGACTAATGTAGCCAAACTACTAATGCAGTTAGTATTAACTGCATAAATACTAACTGTATTAATGGCCCGGGCAGCATAATAGACATAAAGACATAAAGATTTACATTATACCTGCCACTAAATGAGAAAAAATATTTATTTCTAGAATAAGACTTAGGTCAAGCATTAATAAAGGTCTTTATGGACTTAAAAAAAAAAAAGACTCAGCCAGGTGTATTGTTGCATACCTGTATATAATTCTAGCACTCTGGGAGGCTGAGTCAGGAAGATTTCAATTTGGAGCCCAGCCTGGGCAATTTATCGACATAGTGAGATTGTCTCAAAAGGGAGTGGGGAAAGGTAGGGATGTAGCTCAGCGTAAAGGCCCTGGGTTCAATCCCAAGTAGTAGAGTTCGGGAGAGAAAAGAAGAAAAAATTTAGTCCTGAGTTACAGTCCCAGCCCTTTTTCATCTCTGATCTTGGGAAGGTCTTTTAATTTCTGTAAGGCTAAGACTTCTTTAAAACGTGGGGCACAAGCTGGGTATGGTGGTACTCACCTGTAATCCCAACTGCTTCAGGAGGCTGAGGGAGAAGGGATGCAAGTTCAAGCCAACCTGGGCTAATTAGTAAGAGACCCTGTCTCAAAAAATAAAAAAGGAAAGGGATGTACTTCAGTGGTAGAATGGCCCTTGGTTCAATCCGCAATACTGCAGGAAAAAGTGAGGAATTGCCATAAAAGGAATACAATTCTGATGCATAGCTGGGCATGGTGGTGCACGCCTATAATCCCAGCACTGGGGAGGCTGAGGCAGGAGGATTGCCAGGAGTTCAAGGCCAGCATGGGCTACTGCATTCAAGGACATCCTGAAATGCATAGCAAGACCCTGTCTCAAGCAAAAAGAATCTGATACATGGTACAACATGGATGAACTTTGAAAACATTATGCTAAGTGAAATAAACCAGACACCAAATTCCAAATAATATATGATTCATTTATATAAGGTACCTAGGGGTAGTAAATTCATAGACATGAAAATAGAATAGAAACTATCGGGGAATGTGGGGAAGGGAAAATGGAAATTTGTTGTTCAAAGGGTATAGAGTTTCTATTTGATGATGATGAAATTCTGTAAATAGATGTTATGGCTATGAATATTAACTTCGAATGTTATTTGATGGGTGGGGTTGCCCAGGTGGCAAGATCTAGTCTGGATTGAAAAACAAGTTTCCCTCTTTCTTATTCAGTGTTCTATCCTGGTCAGGTCAGAGTTGCTTCCTATCTACCCAGAAATGTGTTTTCTCTGACCCTTATGCTGGGGGGAGGAGGGCACAGAACAGCTGAAAGCGCCCAGGGGCTCAGTACACAGATGGCACTCTGCTAATGCATGTAAAGAGAATGGAGCCTTCAAAACTATTTTTGCCTTCTTAGCCCTTTCGCTGTTCTTGCTGTCTGCCAACTTCCATCTAAAATACTCCCTTCTCTCCCTCTAGATCTGTTTGGTGTGTCCTGGTTTCTCCTCACTAAATATCTGGGTTTCTGATCGTTTCCTTTATTTCCCAGATGTACTAGTTTGCATTTTCCCCAGTTACATCCCTTATGTTCTCTAATTCAGATTTCTAGACTCTGTAGGGGGGAGCTACCCCCCCAGTCAGAGTTTTTAAGTAAATAGACTATTTCCTGCTCCTCATTTATGTGCAATAACTATTCTGTTAGGTTTGGGTGTTGTGGTCAGGAAGTTGAGCAAAAACAGAGCTGGAAAACAGGTTTTTCAGATTGTTTCATGGTGCTGTGGTGGGTCAGTGCAAACATACATCTTTTAAAATGTGCAACAAAAGGGCCAGGGATGTAGCTCCGTGGTGCTGGTGCCTGCCTTGCATGGGCAAGGTCCTGAGTTTGCTCCCTGGTACCACCAA